CTCTCGGCAGAGTCGGCGGTGAAGGCGCCGGAGAAAGTTCGGTGGGGGGGTTACGTACGTCAGGGACTGCTGACGCGGGGGTGAGCGCTGTCGGCGAGGCGGGCCGAGCAGAATCCGCGGACTCAGGCTCCAAGACTCCTTCTTCACCTGCACCCTCCTCAGGCTCAGGCTCTGGCGCAGGGTCTGGAGGGAGATCTCCTTGTACTTGATCGGCGACAGTTTGAGGGAGGCAGGAGCTGGGGGAGACAGGGCGAGAATGCTGCGAGGCGGATCAAGATGCGAGGGTGCTGCAGGGACCAAGCAGATGTTGGGCCCTTCTGATCGCCTTGTAGCACGGGTAGTCTTCTGCGATCGATCGGGGTGTCCGGTTGGGGCACGGCTGTTGTTTGCAGCAGTAGAGGGCAGGCTCAGGGCTGTCTGGGAGGTAGACGTCGATGAGGTCCTGAGAGTCGAATGCGTGAACTTGGCCTTGGTAGGCAGCCACGTTGGATGGGGGGGGAGGAAGGGGAGGTGCGCGTACTACGAAAGGCCATGCTAATCTAGCTTACACCTACGGCGCCCGAGATGACACTGAGATTCGCAGTTCACGTAGGGCCCAATACTGCTTTTGACTATTATGCAGCAGGAACCAAGGCTACGCGTCCGTGAGGACAAGTACTGCTCACTGAAGCGCAGGTACTGAAGAGTTCGTTTCTCAAGTGTTGGCGATGTATCGTATGCTATCTATGTATCATAGGGTACAGTAGGGGTGCGCACCACCCAACCTATAAGAAAGGAAAGTGAGTTTATGGGGTTCCGAGGAACGCCGGCAGCTTTGTGGAGTTTCGACCTAATGTCGCGACTTGAGGTCTAGCGACAGGGGAAAACCTAAAAGAGCTGGGGGTGTTCAACTGGTTCTCACCGAAGCGATGGTGAGCAGCGCTCAAACCTAAGGCTAGGGACAAGATAAGTTAGCATTGGTAAGTAGGTAAGTAATACATGAGCTTACTGACCTAGGGACAAGAGGTTGAAACTGAGGTCCCTAGGGCAGCAGAGGCCGGCTTATATACATGGAGAGATAAGGGCAGGCTGTGCGCGCTGGTCCGTGCGCAGCTGGTCCATGCGCAGCATGCCGATGCGGCCCCGGGGGCTGGTGAGTCAGAGCGGCTGTGTCAGCGGAGCCCGAGCTGTGCCGTGCACTGCCGTCCCATCTAATCTAATCGTACAGTAGATAGTGTCATGTCCATATCCGGTATGTAGTACAGAGGTTGCGGGTTCGAGCCCGCAAAAAGGAAAAAATTAAAAAGCGGCTAGGCGCCGTGCCAACTCGTGACAGTAGTTGTATCTGGATCCCTGTTGGAATCTGCAGTGTTGCGTTACTGGCAACTTCCTGGTTTTGACTTGCATACAGTTCAAAGCCTGCTGCTGTATCGGTCTTTCTCTTGGGTTCCCGGCCTCCTCGTAGCTCAACTCGAAGTATTGCATCCCTTTTCAGGAGAGCAAACACCTTGTCATCATTATCATCGAGCAACCTGATTGCATGCGGGTGCGCATCATGATATTCCTTGATGAGTTCCTTCGAGCCTTTGAGGTTCGCAACTGGTTCCCATGTATCCTCATCGGGAGTGGTATTCTTCCAACGTACGAGGTACTGAAGCTTGCGGTAGTGCCGGTGAGAGGATAGGATCTTCTCCACTTCCCATTCTTCATGACCGTCAATGATAACTGGCTTTGCAGCTGGTCCTTTCTGGCCTGGGATTTCCTCCTCGTGATAGGGTATAAGCTTACTGGCATGGAAGACCGGATGTAATTTGGTCAACCTCGGTGGCCATTTCAGTCTGAAGGTGACTGGAGAAAGTTTTTCAACAATCTCAAAAGGCCCCGAATACCGTGCGTTGAGCTTTCGACCGGTAGTTTGGTAGTCTCTGAGGTCAAGTAAGACCTTGTCGCCCACCTTAAAGGGGACTTTCTGGACTCCTTGGTCATAATACCACTTCATACGCTCGGCTGCCAGTTTGAGAGCGGCTTTCGCCTGCTCCTGCGCTTGTTGTCGGTTCCAAACAATGTCATTGAGGTCACTTCTCACTTCTTTGCACCTCCTTTGTAAGTGTTGGACCTGCCCGTGGATGTCTGCCATATTCCAAGAAGAATGGTGTCTCCTTGGTGCCCTCATGCACTGCATTGTTGTAGGCAAACTCAGCAGAGCTAAGTAGCCTTGACCAGTCGTCGAGTTGATAGTCAATGTAATAGCGAAGATATTGCTCCAGAACTTGGTTGACTCTTTTAGTCTGACCATCAGTCTGTGGGTGGTACGTGGTGGACATGGTGAACTCTATCCCTAGTAGCTTACACCATTCCTGGAACAGTGTAGCCGCAAACTGAACACCTCAGTCGGATATAATCTGGGATGGTAAGCCGTGAAGTGGATACACCTGATTGTATAGCAATTCTGCTAGATCCTTTGCCGAGAACTCATTTGTTATTGGGTAGAAGTGAGCCCGCTTTGTCAATCAATCCACGACTACACAAATGGCATCATAACCATCTGATTCTGGGAGCTGAGTGATGAGGTCGACGGTCATAACTTCCCATGGCCCTTCCGGGACACGGTTGGGTTGCAATGGTCCATATGGCTGCTGCGGACGATTCTTCATCCGTTGACAAATGTCGCAGCCGGTCACATACTTCTTGACAAATACCAACATGCTAGGCCACCAATAGTTGTGTGAGACGAGTTCATATGTCTTCCACCTTCCGGGATGTCCGGCAGAGGGGAGATCATGATGCATTTGAACTATACGTCTGCGCAAGTGGTCCTGCTCGCTGTTGAGGATATATACTTTGCCGCGATAAAGCAACAATCCATTCTCATGATTTCAGTCCACAAGGGACTTGCCGAATTCTCTAGGACCTGACTTCAACAATTGCTGATAGTTCTTGGTCACATTGTCATGTAGGAGTGCTTCCTTCACTTCCCTCAGGAGTTGATTGTCATTAACGGGTGACTCATGGGAGGCCTCGACTGCATTGATTGCAAAAAACTCCGGTTTCAATAAAGTTTGATCCCGATTATCGAGGTTCACCCCCTCCTCATGGTCTGGCCTCCTGGACAGAGGGTCGGCGGTAAGCATTGTTTTTCCTGGCTTATGGCACAAAAGAAAATTGAATCGCGTGAGGTACAGAGCCCATCTCGCTTGTCTCCTGGTTAACTTCTGGGCAGTTTTGAAGTAAGCCAGATTAAGATGATCCGACCAGATCTCGAATTTGTCCGAATGTCCCTCCAAATAATGCCTATACTCTTCAAGTGCTCGAATGATAGCAAGCATCTCCTTGTCATATATCTCATAGTTTCACTGAAGAACATCGAGTGACTTCGAGTAAAAGGCAACTGGGTGCCACAACTTGTCAGTTGGGTCCAATTGGGAGAGAACTGCGTCGGTCGCGAAGTCGCTGGCATCAGTCTCAAGTCTAAATGGGGACGTTGCATCCGGGATTCGAAGAATGGGCGCTGAGGTAAAGGTCTCTTTCAGACCATTGAATGCCTCTTCCTGCACCACATCCCACACCCATGGTTGATCCTTCTTGGTCAACATAGTAAGCGGTTTGGCGTACTTGGCAAAGTCCTTGATGAATCTTCAATAGAAGTTTGCAAAGCCTAAGAAAGCTTGGACTTGTTTGACCTTAGTAGGCCGTGGCCACTCAGCTACTCCTGAAATTTTCTTCGGGTCCATCTCGATATGTCCTTTGGAGATAATCATGCCGAGGTACTCAATGCTGCTTTTTTCAAAGGAGCATTTTTCCGGTTTAGCAAATAGATTATTCTCCCTCAGCCACTTCAGGACTTCCT